ATAATGACTTCCTGTTTTGTGGCGAATCGTCAAAGTTTGCGAAGCCGCCACGGACACGCCCATCGACGAAAACTCTAAAGCTTCGCAATTTAACATCGCCAAGGCCTTTAGATGACAAAACCTAATTTTGGTGTTGATCGGATAAAATCCCTAGGAGGAGTTCGTTAAAATACAACGCCTGGAAATGGCAAAAATGCCACTTTTTCGCTGCAGGAAGTTAAAAATATCTGACTTCCTGTTGAATTTGAGATATGGCTCCAAGAGACTTTTTCGTATGTTTTGGCATGTTTGAGGTGTGTGCCAATTTTCGTGCATGTGCGTGATTCGTGGATCGGGGGCTCGTCCGTTTAATTTTTCTAGGTGGCGCTGTCGAGTCATTTTGCCACGCCCACTTCCGAGACCCATAATAAACGTAAATTTTCGCCACTTCTGAGGCGTGTGCAAAGTTCCGTGAGTTTTCGGGCATGTTTAGCCCCTCAAAATCGCGATTCATTCCGGAAAAGAATAATAATAATAATAATAATAAACGGAGCAATTCCAATAGGGCCTTGCACCGTTCGGTGCTCGGTCCCTAATAATAATAATAATAATAATAATAATAATAAACGGAGCAATTCCAATAGGGCCTACGCACCGTTTCGGTGCTCGGTCCCTAATAATAAACGGAGCAATTCCAATAGGGCCTTGCACCGTTCGGTGCTCGGTCCCTAATTAAAGCTGCAAGCAGCGATGATAGGGACCTCGCACCCAGGCTCACCGCCGCCCGGTAGCCTCAGGATAACAGAGAACAGCGAACAATATTAATTTCAGCCGATATATATAAAGAACCTGAGAAAAATCACAGATTTATGCAAAACTTCCTCCTGTCAGCAGGTGGCGCTATAACTGTGACTCAAGATTGACATGTAGATGTCTTTAGGAGAGGCATCTCATCTAACCTGTGAATTTTCAGGCAGATCGGACATTGTTTGGCTGAGTTATAAGCCAAACTACCTTCTGCTATCAGGTGGCGCTATGACTGTGACTCAATATTGTTATGTGAATGTGTTCAGGGGAGGACTTTTATCAACCATGTGAAGTTTCAGGCTGATCGGACTTTGTGTGGTTGAGTTATGAGGACTTCCTGTTCCATGGCGAAGCGTTGAGGTTTGTCATGCTGCCACAGACACGCCCTTCTGTGAAAATTTCAGACCCTAACAAAATGTAATTGCTAGAACTTTCAGATAACAACCAACCAAACTTGGAGCTGATACGAAAAATTTTTTGGGAGGAGTTTATTACTCTGTAAATCATGACATTTCTTGTGGCCAGCAGGTGGCGCTGTAACTGTATCTGGATATTGGCATGTAAATGTGTTCAGGTCAGGACTCTTATTAAACATGTGAATTTTGAGGCAGATCAGATAATGCATGCCTGAGTTATAATGACTTCCGATTTTGTGGCGAATCGTCAAAGTTTGCGAGGCCGCCACGGACACGCCCATTGACAAAAACTCTAAAGCTTCACAATTTAACATCGCCAAGGCCTTTAGATGACAAAACCTAATTTTGGTGTCGATCAGATAAAATCCCTAGGAGGAGTTCGTTAAAATACAACGCCTGGAAATGGCAAAAATGCCACTTATTTGCCGCAGGAAGTTAAAAATATCCGACTTCTTGTTGGGTTTGAGATATGGCTCCAAGAGACTTTTTCGTATGTTTTGGCGTGGTTGAGGTGTGTGCCAATTTTCGTGCATGTGCGTGATTCGTAGATCAGGGGCTCGTCCGTTTAATTTTTATAGGTGGCGCTGTTGAGTCATTTTGCCACGCCCACTTCACTATTGTTATGGGGATGTGTTCGGGAAAGGACTTTTATCAAGCATGTGAAGTTTTAGGCTGATCGGACTTGGTGTGGTTGAGTTATAAGGACTTCCTGTTCCATGGCGAAGCGTTGAGGTTTGTCATGCCGCCACAGACACGCCCCTCTGCGAAAACTCTAGATCTTCACAATATATCATCGCTAGAGCTTTCAGATAACACCACTCAAATTTGGTGCTGGTACAATAAAGATTGTGGGAGGAGTTTGTCACACTGTAAAACATGTCATTTCCTGTGGCCAGCAGGTGGCGCTATAACTGTATCTGGATAGTGGCATGTAAACGTGTTCAGGTCAGGACGCTTATCAAGCGTGTGAATTTTGAGGCAGATCGGATAATGTATCACTGAGTTATAATGACTTCCTGTTTTGTGGCGAATCGTCAAAGTTTGCGAAGCCGCCACGGACACACCCATCGACGAAAACTCTAAAGCTTCGCAATTTAACATCGCCAAGGCCTTTATATGACAAAACCTAATTTTGGTGTTGATCGGATAAAATCCCTAGGAGGAGTTCGTTAAAATACAACGCCTGGAAATGGCAAAAATGCCACTTTTTCGCTGCAGGAAGTTAAAAATATCTGACTTCCTGTTGGATTTGAGATATGGCTCCAAGAGACTTTTTCGTATGTTTTGGCATGTTTGAGGTGTGTGCCAATTTTCGTGCATGTGCGTGATTCATGGATCGGGGGCTCGTCCGTTTAATTTTTCTAGGTGGCGCTGTAGAGTCATTTTGCCACGCCCACTTCCGAGACCCATAATAAACGTAAATTTTCGCCACTTCTGAGGCGTGTGCAAAGTTCCGTGAGTTTTCGGGCATGTTTAGCCCCTCAAAATCGCGATTCATTCCGGAAAAGAATAATAATAATAATAATAATAATAATAATAATAAACGGAGCAATTCCAATAGGGCCTTGCACCGTTCGGTGCTCGGTCCCTAATAATAATAAACGGAGCAATTCCAATAGGGCCTTGCACCGTTCGGTGCTCGGTCCCTAATAAACGGAGCAATTCCAATAGGGCCTTGCACCGTTCGGTGCTCGGTCCCTAATAATAATAATAATAAACGGAGCAATTCCAATAGGGCCTTGCACCGTTCGGTGCTCGGTCCCTAAATATCTCTACAATGCATGTAAACTAGCTTGACGTCTAAACGACATCAAATTGAAATCTAACACTGGCGTCAAAAACACGTCAAGTTAATCAGCTGACATAAATCGATCTGCATTTTTATGCTGTTTCTGATGTAGTTTTGTCATCAAGGTGCCCGCTGGGATGCTTCTCATGTCATATAAATATGCGCTAGACAAATGCCAGACATGTTTTTAATATTTCCTCTTGTGTTTTTCTCTGTATGGACTTCACACAGAAAGCAGCAAGGTCTTCTGCAGAAAATTAACAAAACATTTCTATAAAAAACTCATAAAAACCAACACAAACGTCATAAAGAAGCCAAGAAGAACCCACATCTAACTGATCCAGAACCAGAGCCTGATCCAGAGTCTGTCCTGAGACCCAAACACTGCAGGATCAGCGTCGTCATCAGTGCCAGGAAACTGCCTCTTCTGTGCAGGCAGAAATGGAAACCCGTGATGGACTCTGAGGATGTGGATGGTTAAATCTGAGTGCATTTTGAGGAGGACGTGTTGTTCCTCTAGAGGATGAGGATGAAGAAACACCAGCACCAGAACAAAGCATTGGGTCAGGTTTATATGATAAGCAGAAGGTTTAAAACAATAATGAATTACAAAACTGTTAAAAAATGAGCAAGCATTACTAATCTGGCAAATAAATCCCCTGAACACAAATGAAGAGAACTTTAGATGAAATCAGAGAGCTCCCTCATCCTTCATGGACAGCAACAGCCCCAAGTTGCTCAGAAACAAAGTCCAGAAACTGCCGGAAAATCTTTTTTGTGTATTTTTCTGGACTTTGAGGATGAGGGAGATCTCAGATTTCAGAATTACTGATATCAGAAATGATCTAGGAGGAGTAGGGGGTGGTGGAGGGCCTTGTTTTCTTCAGTTTGTGTTGTGGGTGGATGTGTGCATTACTAACACTGACCCTAAAGTAATTGTAGACTTCTATATTTGTAATGTTATGTTTGGACAGCCCTAGGCTGAAATGAGCAAGCATTACTAATCTGGCAAATAAATCCCCTGAACACAAATGAAGATATTTTAGATGAAATCAGAGAGCTCCCTCATCCTTCATGGACAGCAACAGCCCCAAGTTGCTCAGAAACAAAGTCCAGAAACTGCCACAAGAAAACAATTCTGGTATTTTTCTGGACTTTGTGGATGAGGGAGATCTCAGAATTACTGATATCAGAAAAGATCTAGGAGGAGTAAGGTGGTGGTGGAGGGCCTTTTCATGGTGGATTTATTTAATCATCATCCTCATAATCTCTGGAGAAACAACACATCCTCTTCAGATGATCTTACCATCGATATCCTGCAGTATCAGCATTACAGAGGCAGTGTGAACTTTGTTCTGAATAAAGTTGATTGTATTTCCACAAATGAAAGGTTTGCCATTATTTACTCATTCCAGACTTGTTCAAAACTAGCTTGAGTTTGTTGTTGAACACAAAAGTGGATATTTTGAAGAATAGCCATTGACTTCCACAGTATTTGTTTATTCTACTATGGATGTCAGTGGTCATGCGTTTGCAACATTCTTCAGTTCATCTTCCTTTGTGTTCAACAGAAGAAAATGACCACAGAATTTCTATTTCTGGGTGAACGCTCCCTTTAAGTGGTCCCTCATGCAGATATTGTCTCCTAAACACTGCTAATATTTCCCTGGAGCCTCTGAGTATGAGCTGGATAACGGTGAGTTTGCTGTCAGTTCTGTTTTATTCTCATTTTGAATCATTTAAGCACTTTGTTATTCTAACTATAGTCTTGTATATTGAGAGTACATGAAGAGTTTGTTGTGAAAATGCCTGACTCTGTTAAACATCCTTTGGGAAATATTTTAAAAAGAAAACAACAATTGACAGGCGGGCGAATAATTCTGATTTCACAGAGTTCACCACAGCGGAATGAACCACCAACTTATCCTGCACATATTTTATGCAGCAGATGACCGGTTGATGATGGTTTAGATCAAAGTTAATATTCCCGGGTAGCAAAGAATTCTGGCCCAGATTTGGTATAAAGCTGGCACAGCAGGCATTCGTCCAGCACTGGCATGCAGCATGTGGGCCAACATGGCCCAGGTTTAGCTGAGGTGGCACCGTCTTACAGGCGGCACACAGGACTTGGGCCAGATATCAAATGTAGTATTTGGCCCAGATGTTTAAATGTATATGTGGGCCATGTAAGTTTGGTCTATCTTGACCCACTTTTAAAACACATTTAAATTATTTTTGAGTAAAGAAAAAATTCCGTCAATCAGGTGGCTTCAAGAAAAAGCTCAGCCGTAATGCGAAATGCTTCATGGGTTTATAAAAACATTGCAGTCGCGACACACCAACATATCTGGCCCAGTTCAGGCCCAGTTATGGGTTATTAACCTGGCTGAGACTCGGTCCAGATATGGTCCATGTTTGCCTCTTGTATGGAAGCCAGACTTGGTCCATTCATGTAGCGTAATTCACTGTGGCAGTTATTCAGTTCCCCTATAGCGCATGTGTTTGGACTGTGGGGGAAACCGGGATGCAGACCTGGTGCAGTGCAATGTGAGCTGCATCTAATGCTTTATAATGCGCTCACCTAACCCCACCCCTTACAATGATGTCACTAGCTCTATTTGAGTGCACTGTGTCTGACGTTGCATCTCTGAGTGATGCAGTCTCAGCTTGCATCATAAAGGCTGCATCCAGAGACCCACGCCAACAAGAAATGACAACTGACCCAGCCAGGACTCGAACCAGCAACCTTCTTGCTATGAGCCGACAGCACTACCCACTGCGCCACCATGTCACCCTCGCATGTATATCAATTAAGAAAAATGTATGTAAAACATGTAAATGTCAAACAGAGTCACACACAGCGATCTTCACTTCGCACTGTCAACCAACCACCACAGCAATCTCACCCTGCAGCACAAGACTCTCTGAAGCTAAGCAGGGCTGGTCAGTATGGATGGTCAGTGTTGCTGGTGGAAGTGCTGTTAGAGAGATTGTGTGAGTCCTGATGTCCCAGTAAACGTGAAGGGGACACCATACTGTGTACAACACTCTTCACTTCTTGCGATCATAAGCAGTATATATGCACACATATATATGTACACTGTTAGTACTGCTCCTATACTTGACCTTAGAGCCTTTTTCAAAATGACCTGCTGGAGTTATAATCACCAGTGACTGATATTCACACACTGCTGCCACATAATTCCTCTGTGAGGACTTAAATAATTCAATAAATATTGACTTTGTTGGATTTCTTTTATTAAATGGTGGACAAATTACGCTTGATATTTGTCAACAAAATCTGACATTTAAAAAAAACAGCTTTTATATATATATATATATATATAGCTATGTGTGTGTGTGTGTGTGTGTGTGTGTGTGTGTATTATTCATATTAAAATTAACACCTAAAGCATTTGCCTTCTCAGCGCTGACTATTGTGATGTATTATAAATATTGTGATTCGTTTGTTTCATCTTCAGGTGTAATAAATCAGGTATTTTGAAAGATATGAGTTGTGTTATTGTTATTAATAAGTTGGAGCTGTCTGACTCAAAAACCTTTAAAGGTATTGTGAAAATCCTTTAAAATGTGTGGTGAAAAGGAATAAATACAAACTCAATTTTGCTTTGTGTGTCAATTGTACAGCATCTCAGATCAACACATCTCATATTAAATAAGCTTGGATTTGAAAGTCATTGAGAGACGGATTGTTGATCGAACATGTTTAAAGCTGATCTTACTGTAGTTGCTGACCCCACATTGAAAATGAATGGGAATTTTGTTTTAGATGAATCTGTCCAAAAGAAATGTGAAGTAAATAATAAATTATGTGTGTAAATTGCTGATTTTTTTCCTCTCAGATGGCAGAATTTTATTTCTAAAATCTAAAACAGTATGCAGAAACCTTTAGGTCAGACTTTTAGTGATTTTTCAATGAAAAGTTTATTTTTTTTAAGCAGATGGCTTATTTTAATGCCGTGAAACAATTAAACCTCTTCAATATGAGTGTATTTATTATACAGGTTTATGTAACATGATGTACATTATGATCCATGTTTACTAATTAACAAGCAATAATTTGATCACACTTTAATACAATTCTCACTAATAATGAACCTTTAACTATGTGACTTTTCCTTTAATAAACTGTCAATTTGCTGTGTTCACTCAGATTAATCAGTGGTTTTCTTCATTTCCCCCCAATTATAACATTTATTGTGATTTGTGTTAATTATTAGGTAGTCTAAATGTTACATTCACCAACCCAAATGGGGTAATCTAAAACAATTTAATTAATTTAGTATTAATTTAGTATTTTGGGAAATTAATTTTGAAATATTCTCCGCGAACTGTAAAGCCCGCCCTGTTTGATTTGATTGGCTGACATTTTGACATTGACGAGCTGTTATTTCTGAGGCAGACTCTGACAGGAGCTGTTGTGTATTGATTACGGCCCGGTTTCAGATATGAAATCAGTGCTGGCTCGGTAATATTCACTCATTTCTGTGCTGTTCTGAAGAATCTGAACTTTTGAAAATAAACGCGGCTAGAGACGCCATTCCAAAAATTCCATAAGTGACGTCACGCGGCTAACCACTCTCCAGTTCAGTGATTATCAAGCTAGTGAAAGGATTGTCATTTGAGCGCGTTTACAGAGTTTGAGTAAATGGATCGATTTACTAATTATCTGTCGACTTACAGCACTTTTACGAGTGAAGTAGAACAATTTATGAGTGAAAACACGATGCCTGTGTTTGACCACGCGATGGCAGCAACAGCATCTGTGTGTGGTGGAATGGAGAAAGCGGAGGCAGGTTTGTGGCTCGACACAATCGGCTTCTGCGACGACTTCTGTCCCTGGCTTGACCAGGTGGACGGGACTGTGGTTTCAGAGGCCGCTACAGCACTTCACAAGCCCTCTACTGCTAATAAAGTGGAGAGAAATGCAACCGGTGAGACTATCAGCAAACACTCA